TTTCTCGAGGGTAGCAGCGGCCGTACGCTTCAGGGTAGGGTAGTCGGCCTTCTCGGCAGCCTTGCGTGCCGCCTAGCCGTCGCTGCGTCCGCAAACGTGCATCCTTCTCTCTCGAGAAGAGAAGTCGTGAAGTTTTTGAAGTTTTTTTTTTGGACTTGACGCGACCCTTGTTTTTACCACCGCCCTTAGCCATAGGAGGTGATCTGGTAACCAATGCCACTCGTCGGCTTCTAGGTCAATCGGGGATCGTTTTTTTTAGCTGTGTGCGCAGAAACCAGAGCTAGAGAAGTAGCGAAGGCGATTTTTGACCCTCGTCTCGGTATTCGCGCCAGCTGCGTCAACAGCCGAAATTTCCGTCGTTTCGGGATTTTTCAACCACCAAACGGAAATCGGCTTCGCTACTTCTCTAGCTATAGCATAAATACAGGTGATTGTAGATTGAGAAGAGCCATCTACCCGCCGTCTTCGCGCATTTTTGATTGCCAGTTCCTTGTCTTTGCTCAAGTAAGTAGGACTGCTGCCTGTGTGCCCCCTTCAAACAAAAAAAAAACAAAAGCTATTCGCAGCATGCCGTTTTTTGTTGCTCCGCTGGGGGGTAACCCCAGGGTCTAACAGTACTGCGACCGCAACCCACCCGTTCTCGCCACCGCAACGATTAGCACGGTGCATGTTCCATGCCCAACCTACCTGCGGAGAAGCGTGCGAGCCGAGGTCGTCCATCATAGACTTGAGCGCCTCAAACATTGCCGGGCTTTTCTCCCCCTCGCCCTCGCCCCCGTGCTTCTGATCTGCTTCTCCGCCTGCCGCACCGGACCTGAAGCAGAGGTCTAGGGCCTTGGTAACCTCACCCGCCTTCTGGTACAGCTGCACCGCCTTTTCTAGTTCGCCCTTGTCTTGGAGGTAGTCCGCAACCGAGACCATGAGGCTTGGTCGACTCTTGAGGGCGAACCCCATCAGCTGCATGTACATTCATGGTCGTGGGTGTTGGGAAAATATTCGCCAACAGGCAACAGGAGATTCGCCAACAGGCAAGAGGAGATTCGCCAACAGGCAAGAGGGAAGAACGGAATAAGAGGCCGTCGGTGTGAGGATAGAGGTTGGGTTTGGTGGGCTTTCCTTGGGGCCAGATATATGTGGCCATCCTCAAAGCAACACAACAGGATCCATGAGGCTCGCGTGACTGCTTGAAGGCACATTCGTCGCTTGTTTCGGGAATAAATGGTCAGTTCGGGAGTTTGTGCGCCAGGAAGTGAAAGTGAACCACACGATTCTTAGCGCTCTGGATCTTCGCTACCACCATTGGATGGAACAGATGCAACATAAGGAGGTCTCAACGAGAGGCGCGATCACGAAAAACCAGAGCATTGCGACTGCCCACTCCACGCCTTGAAATATGCTGAGTACCTCGGAGTCCATGCCGTGGTCCTTGGCCAATCGGATGGCGTGATTGAAACGATTGCTTCGAGCGTAGAACGAAACGGCCTCGGCCGTTCTCCCCACCGCTTCCAAATGCCTCGCAAGGTGGTACGCGGCCGGCGCTGACCCCGACTCGTTCACAATTTCTATCGCCTGATATATGCAATTGTTGTTCGAGTTCATGAGGGGGGAAGAAGGGAGAGGGGTGTAATGCATGGTGCTAGAAAGGGAAATCGAAACAGGGAGGGGGAGGGGACAGGGGGATATTTATCTTACTCAAGACGACAACACAAAACATATTTCGGTGACGGGCTAGAGTTAGAGGCTCGTTTGGCGGGGTGAGCAACGAGATACATTGGCTTTTTCGCTTGCAAGAAGTGTGATACTTGTCGATGACGCACCCGCTCGACCTGTCCACCTTGGCAGGCCAGCCTGACCAGCGACAGGTAGTCCTGCGCCCGGGTGTAGGTTTTGCGGGCCTTTTCGAACTCTCCTCTTGACTCGAGGTACTGAGACCACCACTTGAGCAGTTGCACGTTGTTGCCCTGCAACAGCAACGGTAACGACGGGAGAGCGGGGGACGAGACAGGTCGCTCAAGCCGGTCCGAGATCTACACCTGAGTATGAACCGCATGTTGCGTATGTCTACCTCCTTCAGTGGAGGAGGGTGTGGACTTCCGCACGTTGACCGGAAAAAGGGAAAGGGCACCAGACCCGGTGATATCCTGGAATGTTACGCGCTTGGACCGTATCGGCTAAGGTGGGAGTTCGTCATCAACCTCCAAACGGGCGACCATTTGGGGGCAGGGAGCTCCTCATTTTGACCTAAAAGCTTTCACTCAAAGTTTTCCCTCGCGATCGAAGGGACGAAAAACATCATGGAGTCAAGGCACACGGGACAATGAAGTAATAGCATGGGCTGAGTGAGTGCGCGCGCAGAACGAAAACAAACTACCCCGAAACGGGCGTTATTTTGGACTTCTTTCGAAACCGTTCCCAGGAGTGTGCAACGTATGAAGGGCACCTGAGTGATATACTCCTCTAGATCCTCCACCCTCCCGCGCTCGTAGAGCATCCGCGGCACCTCCACGCAGTGAGTGCCGGCGAGCTCGTAGTGCTGGATGGCGCCGGCCGTGTCACCCACCTGAGTCATTTACCCCCAAGCACATATCGAAAAAAGGGGCACAAAGTGAAGAGGGAGGTTTGGTCGCATTGATTAACCTATTTCAGGCATTGTCCTCTTAGAATAACACGACCCAAATCAAGGTTAATATGATTTGAAGATGTAAAGCACTGAAAGTGATTCCGGATTGTTTTCCCAAGGATGCCAAGCCCTCCCCCTCCCGCCCTCTCGCTATTGCCTTTTCGAGGTGCTGGGCGTAGAGTTGGTGTGTCGTGGAAAGGTTTATCCCGTCGTTAGCCTCTGCGACCTCCAGGGCCCGCTCCCAAAGTCCAGAGGCCTGATAGAGCCCATTGAGGAGGTCGTAGCGACCACACTCCCGGTACAGACGCACGGCATCATCCAGCAACCCTAGCTGCGTCGCCACCTGCATAGGCAGATCGAGTGCACGAGGATAAGCGTTCAGCTGCTCATTTAAAGCTTCAATGGAATCCCTCAGACTTTTGCAGCAAGACTATTTTCTATGCTTTCTGTGATGTGTTTGTTGCTGCAGATATTGCTCTGGTTGCTTGTGTGGAACAATTTCTGGGGCATGTTGAAATGAAGCCGTTGTCCCTGCGCACAGCCCTCACGATGTTAGCAACAACAACGACGGCCACCATTCAGGGAGTCCCACCTGAGCTACGGCTACCTCCGGCTCGGGTTCCATCTTGGCCAGACGAACCGCTGCCGCCCCTCGAGCGTGCCCCATGTTTCCCAGGCACAGCTAAGGGTTATGACGAGCACGAGCACAGACAAATGGGTTGAGAGATGATCGTCGTCGTCGTAGTCGTTGTTGTTGTTGTTGTTGTTGTTGTTGTTGTTGTTGTTGTTGTTGCTGTTGTTGTCGGTGGTGGTGGTGGTGGTGGTGGTTGTTTCTTGTTCGACACGGAAGCCCATCCAACCTTACCCAACTAGTGAATTTGGGCAGCGAGGGGTGGGCGCAGTCACTCACCTCCGCGACGTCCAGGCGACGCGTCTTCACGCACATGTGCGCCATGTTCTCCCACACGGTGGCGTTCTTGATCAGCCGCACCGCGGCGTACGCCTTGTCCATGTCACCCACCGTCAGATGCAGAGAAAAGTCTAGCAGAGCCGCCGAAGTCTTCTCGTCCACCTGCCGCATAGTGCGACGCAACAAATGTTTCAGCCGAGTCCGAGACAAACAACGAGCCCAATGGTTTGGGACCATGCGATATGTACGGTGAATCAGTATCGGAGCGCAACATAAGCCTTGTTTTCCCTCACGTAGGGAGAACGTGCTTGTCCAAGATTTCGCTCAGCGGGATCAGGAGATGATAATGAGGCTGTTGTTGCATTATATTGATGACAAGCATTGTTCGTTGAATCCGTTAGACTGTGAGGGATTGGGGGTGCGGCGGGAGCTATTTACCATAGTCAAGGCCGCTGATCACACAGGAACGAGGTAGTGCCTCTATCCTTCGGCGGCTCCTTGCAAAGTTTGAGTGCGCTCTTCGAAAGCGACAAATGCTGCTACATGCCTACGTCGTTGAGGGCTGATTCAAAACGGGGGCGAGCCTATTCGAGCAAGACGTGCTATTAGAATCTCACAGAATCAGAAGCCCAAGGGGATGAGTAGATTTACTGGCGTACTCGGTCTAAGCACCCCAACATTCCTGAATTCTGGCACACACCCCTCTCGTCGTGAAGACATTGCGAGGGCGGCGTTCGCAGGCAGAAACAATTGCAAGAAAAAAATGTGAACGGAATATTTGCCACGAAGTTTGTGGTGCCCGGTCGCACTCGCCTAGACCTCTGCAGTCATTGGCAATGGCTCTCGCACAGACCATTTTTGGTCGAGCAACTACACCCGTTGGATACCGTGCCCGTCACCTGGTCGAGCCCTGCGAAGTCCCTCATGGCCCGCGACATCAAGACCGGCCGCCCTGCTAGCTGCCCCCCGCCCTCCCCACCCACTCCGCTCGTCACGACACCGCCTCCCTGATCTACCAGAATTCCGCTTCCTAGGACGTCGTGTTCAGTGTCTGACTTCTCCTTTTCGTCAGGGATGGGTACCCCTCGCGCGGTGAAGAATAAGCGAGGAATCTGACGGTAGAGCGCGGAGCAGAGAGAGGGGAGGGGGCTGCGGTACAGAGCAATCATCACCAGGAGTATCAATTGGCGTGGTTGGTCGTAGGTTCGACGCTCGAATGGACTTTGCTCAAGCCTGCGAAACAATGTATAACATTAAGGCCGCGGCTCGCTTCGCCACACGACGCCTATTGGTGGTCAGGCTCTCGTGTACAGGTGATATCACCGATGGATCCGGGAGGACTAGCAAAGTCTATTCGATGCCGCCAAGACTTGTAACAAAAGGGTTTCCCTTGTTGACGTCATGTACCTGTAGTCCAAGAAGGGCTTCCAAAGGTTCTTCTAGAGGGAAGGAGTCTTGCATCAGGATGCCGAAGTCGCTCGTTACGAACAACGTCGTGACCTGAAATATTGTTGGGGAAATCGAGGCGAGAAGGTGCGACCGCTAGCAATGAAAGGACAGAATCGAATGAGGTTTCGCTGGTGGTCGGATACCATCTTGCACTCGACACGAGCCCGCCCAATTCATACTCACGTCGCACAAGCGCCCCACACTTTCCATTCCTACGGTGAAGGTTCCCCTCCCACGGTAGCTCCATTTGCTTTTTTCATGGAACGTGCTGCGAAGAAGAGCCTCGGATACGGGATGCGACTCACACATCTCTGAGTGTGCACCAAGTGCAAAAACAGAGTGGAAATAGGCAAAGAGTACGCCGTCAATTCTAACACGGCTACCTCACCTCTGCCTCGCAAGGGCCCGAGTCGCCCAGGTTTGCCGCTTTCGCCCTTGCGCTGCTTCTTGCGGCTTCAGCTGCTTCCAAATCTCCCCCATACTTGTCGTCCCCCCATCTCTTGGCCTCCCCCTCTCTCCTCTTCTCTTCCCTGTCATCGCCGCTGGACAGTTTCTGTTCGGAGGGAAGGGGAGAGGGACGGAGGGAGGGACGGCGGGACGGAGAGAAGGAGAGAGAGAGGGAAGGAGGGAGGGAAACGGGAAGCACGTTACCGCTTCGCGATCACGTTGACCTAAACTCAGCTGCGACATAACCAAGCGGACCATCTTCGCGTGATTAATTCGTCGACCCAAAATGCTCCTGCTGCTAAAAACACGTTTTCTTGCCTGCTGCTGGGCACCCCGACCGTTTCCACTGGTGGCGCGTCTTGCCTCTACAGCCAATAACCTTGGTTCCTGGGGTTAAAACGAGGAAGGGGCACAAACAGACAGGTGCATAACGCATTGGCGGGTCAGCCAGCGCCGCGACAGGGACAGCTTCTCGTTAGTCGAATAAAAGTCAGGTCCGATATGCTTGAAAACGCGTTAAAAGGACAAGCTTACCTGTGCACTGAAGCGAGGCGGGAAGCGTGTGCCAAGGCCTCCAGCCAAATAGCAAAAAAAAAAATCAACTAGAGCAACATATTTTTTTGTTCATGACTGACGTGAAAACAAAGGTCGCGATCGTCAGAGTTGTCTTTGCCATGGTTTCTTCTTTGTAAGGAGCTTGGGGCAGCCTGTGTTTAATGGAAATCATTTCCCCGCCAACAGCTTTGGTCTAGATGGATGAAAAAGTGGACTTGTGTACCAGGGAAGTGTTACAATTTTTCACTTTTGGAAAAGAGAGTCACAGCCGGAGAATATGAGCCTCGAGAGGCTACTATTTTGCACGTGAACCTACGATGGGCTCATTCTTCCACACGCGTTTCGCATCAGCGGACTACCCATGGTGTTCTGTACACCTCCTTACCTGTGGGTCCCAGAAATGTGCGGTGGGAAACCTTCCTTCAGGTCCCCAATCGTAGCTCTCGACGGAGTCCTTGTCGGATCCGTAGACGTGGATACGGCTGTCGGGAAACCGAATCTTCAAGGTCTTTTCATCATGTGTTTGTGCGGGAGAAGGTCGATTGATGTGTGGAAAATGAGACGGAATCGGGGGGTAGAGGCGTGCAACTGGTGGAAAATCAAGTGTCGCGGGTCAATTGGAACAACTACGGCAGTCAAAGCCATGAAAGTCCGCCAAATATCACCCCAAAGATCTCAATTTTAGGAAGGCCTAGTTGACGGAGTACGAGTTTCGTCGTTTCCTAGTGGTTTCCTCGTTCGATCTTCCTCGTATACACGCCGAGCTACCACCTGAAACTCCACCAGCATCACACAGCTTCCGTGACCAGCAGAACAGAGGCGTGTTTCAGGCATGACTAAGCGGCGGCACCCTACCTGGCCGTGAACCTTGTCGCTGAGTATGGAGACCCTTGTCCCGTCGGCGTTACACGAAATCGACCGAATCACGCCGAGGCTCTTCCCTGTCTTAGGACACTTGAAAGCTCCAGCGTTGCCCAGCGGTCGGACCTTTGCAAGCAGGCAAGTCAGAAGGGGAAGGGGGTTGTATTCGGTCCTGATTTACTTCAAGAACAGCCCGCCAGACACAAGGGTCTGGGCTCGAACTGCAAACGATCACGTTTACCAGAAATAGACATATCTCGAACGAAATATTTTGCTCTTCGGCCTCCCATAGTGAGAGGATACCCAACACGTTGACAGCTGCACTAGGATGGGGGGGGGGGG